GCGCATGTGCGAGCTGCTGGCTGCACGTGGCTGCGCAGGACCGTGCTGCGCATGCGCCGGCTTGGTCACGAGATGCGCGTCAGTCGCCCCCTGTCTGGTGTGGTCGGCGTGACGAAGCCTGGTGTCGCCGCGCTTTGCTACCGTCTCCTCAGCGCACCTCTGGTCAGTCCCGAAGCGACCGGCGCAGCTCCCCTCTGTCCAGAGAGGGCCGAGACCCCACCAACCTCGCGGTTTCGTGGCTTCTCCTCACAGTTCGTCAGTTTGGACTGAGATATGGTCTTCTGTCTGGAGAACGAGAAGCCGCGCAGTCCGCCTCCAAGCGCCATGGCTCACTTCCAGGCGTCGGAAGTCCAGCAACTGCTGCACAACAAGTTCGTCGTCATCTTGGGGGACTCTAGTGAGTGGCCCTCTAGGAGCCTTAGGAAACCCCCTGAGCTCCCTGTCGCACTTGTTCTCGACCCCCTAGTTTGCTCCTGTATGGTAGGGAGGCTTTTAAGAAATTCTTGTTTTTGACTCTATGCACGCTTCACGCGTGTCCTGAAAAACCCGCCGCAGGTGTACTCTTTACCACCTCCACGTTCTCCATTTTCCTCCCTCCTTCTCGAAGTCCCTGCCACCCGCGTTTTCCATTTTCCTCCCTCCTCCTCGAAGTCGCTGCCGACCATAGTCGCCTTCCCTCCTTCAGTTTCCCGGGAGGTGAACCTTAACGGGAGGAAACTGCCCCTCCGTCACCGGATGGTGGATTCTAACCAGGGGGAAGCGTGACCTTCTGGGTTCGCACAAAAAGCATTAGCCTGTGTCTCTTTCGTTACTTCTGTGGGATGGGGTAGGATGTGTGGTCGTGTCCCTGGTGACTGGTTGGTTTCTCTCCGCCTGGCTGACCGTTGGAGGCAGGGATCGTTGTCTAAAGGAGGTTGTGCAGAGTTCAGAGGAACAGAGACAGGGCTTTAAACCCAGCTGTTCCATTTATTTCTATGACAATGCCCAAGAGTTGGGGTTGTTAGATGGAGAGTTGTCCTGGAGAGTCTTGGATGAGCTGCCTTGGGCCCCTATCTCCCTGCAGTCCAGCGGTCTGTGTATAAGGACCTTGTGCTCTTGCTCCAAAGAGACTCCCTGCTCACAGCTGCCCAGCTGAAAACCAAGGTGAGGGACACTGAGTGGCCATGCCAGCTGGGTGGGCGGGCACAGCCTCTGGTCTGGTCTTCCTCCCTGGCTTAGGTCTGACCAGCTGGGCTGGGGGCGGGCAGGGGGAATTGAGTTTCGAACAGGACCAGCTGGTGGCCGGGGGTCAGCTGGGTGAGCTGCACAATGGCACACAGTACCGCGAGGTCCGCCAGTTTTGCTCCGGTTCTGGCCACCACCTCGTGCGCTTCTACTTCCTCACTCGAGTTTACTCCGAGTATCTGGAGGACATCCTGGAGGAGCTGACGTATGGGCCTACCCCGGACTTGGTGATCATCAACTCCTGCCTTTGGGATCTTTCCAGGTTGGGGTGCCAGAGAGGTGGGAGATAACTGGAGGGTGGGAAAGCAGAGGTGTGGCTCCAGGGCTGCCCACCGGCAGGATTTTTTTCCCACCCCTCGTGCTGCCCAGCAGGTATGGCCGCTACTCCATGGAGAGCTACAGGGAGAACCTGGAGCGGGTGTTCGTGCGCATGGACCAGGTGTTACCAGACTCCTGCCTGCTGGTGTGGAACATGGCTATGCCTCTTGGGGAACGTGTCACGGGGGGCTTCCTCCTGCCAGAGGCAAGTGACCAGAGCCTTGGGAGGGAGCAGCTGGCTAACAGAAGACTCACTCTGTCTCTCTCTTCCTCCCCTCATTTCATTCTGCTCTGAAACGCTGCATTTTTTTACTCAGCTCCAGCCCCTGGCAGCCTCTCTGCGGCGAGATGTAGTTGAAGGGAACTTCTATAGTGCCACGCTAGCGGGGGGCTACTGCTTCGACGTCCTGGATCTCCACTTTCATTTCCGTCACGCAGTGCGGCACCGTCACCGGGATGGTGTCCACTGGGACCAGATTGCCCACCGCCACCTCTCGCATCTGCTTCTGACCCACGTGGCTGATGCCTGGGGTGTGGAGCTGCCTAAGCGAAACTATCTCCCTGGTGAGCCCTGCCACAGACAAGGAGGGTCATGTTCCAGAGAGGGCTCCTCCAGAGTACAGGACTCAGAACCAGAACAGGAAGGTCCTGAGTTATTCTTATACGGAGTGGGAGCCACTCTTAAGGACTCTTTCACATGTGGGCTGAATGCTCCTTTCTCAATTGCTTGAGTAGATTAGTTTCACCCCAGGGTCTGTTCTCTCAGGTTTAACTTCATAGCCCTCTCTGTGTACATGAATGAACATATCCAATCTTAGCTTGCACAGGGTGATGTGTCCTAAGAGCCCTAACTTTGGAATGAACTAGAAAGAAAGGGTAGCACTTCTAGCTGAGCATGGGTGTTAGACATTTGTAAGATAAATAGGAATAAGGTGGCCTAGGCAATGAATGGCAGAAATAAGGAACATCATCAGCTGTAGGAGAGGGAGAGAGTTGGCCACTAGGCTGTTGAACAGAAAGCTGTGATAACCAGTGCTCTGGGATGGTCACTCTTGATGGGATAGACCCCCTCAGTTCAAGGTCAGAGTCTCAGTGTAGCTGATTGTAGCTTGGTGCATCTCTCCTCCAGCCCTATCTCTCGGTTATTAAATCTGGAATGATGGGCCTTGCCTCATCTCACATGTCCTGTTTGAGGGACTGCTACCCATCATCTCAATTGCTGATCCCTCACCCCCATGCCTAACATAGTTTCTCTATAGATAATTCTTGTAGAGTAAGCATTGGTGGGGGGAGTAAAGAGATCAAAACTGAGGCAGAAATGGAAACAGCCGCAGATTCCCTTTTTGAGCATTCAGGGACTGAGACTGGCAAGAAGACAAGTTTTCCACAGCAGACAGCATTAGAACTTCTTTAGGTGTGTGCACTGACCCCCAGAAGAGGGAAAGGGTGCTCTAAAAGTTATTAAATATCTCAGAAGTAGGGGGGGTTTAAAAGGAAGAATTGATTTCAAGTGAGAGGATGAGTTGGTGAGTCTGGTCAATGCAAGTGTGTCTGAGGGCCTGTGGAAAGGCAGAGTGAGGGGGTCTGCAGTATCCTGCCGGGAGATTTCCACTAAATTGTCCAGTGGTGGTGTCCAGTGAACTGTGGTAGGGAGAGTAGAGTGGTGTTCACATTTTGGAATAGGGAAAGAAGAAAGGCCAGCCTAGGAGATCAGGATAGGGCCACTTTTTAAGTTGAAGCAGGTGCTACTGGACATGCCATGTGGCTACAGAGAAACTTGTCAGTGTGTGGTAATGTTTAGTTGGAGGTTTCAAAGTTGTGGAGAATCCTTGAATAGTGAGGGTAGGAAAGCCAGGCAAAATATGTTGTCTTCGTGTGTGCTGTTGAGTCGCCTGTGACTCATAGTGACCCTATGTACAACAGCTCTGAGCCCTGCTCTGTCCTGAGCCAACTTTAGTGTCTGTGACACACCTACCCCCATTACCCTAGTCACTGAGTCAGCCCGTCTCATTGAGGAGAAAATATACTTTATAAAAATTGGGAAGGAAAAGCAGACACTGACTACTGGGAGAAAGGTGTCTCCATTTCCTTTCTTTTTAAGAGAGATGGCACTATTAAGCTTACATGTTGACCCACACAGAGGAGGAGCTAGAGAAGGAGTCAAGCTCAGGATACAGGAGGTGGGAAAACCAGAAGCAAGCTTTAGAGAGGCACATGAGGTCAGAACGAAGATGGACCTACTGACCTTTCCATGAGGCAGGAAAGAAACAGGCCTTGGACTTGGACTGAAGTGAGAGGGAAACAAAGTAGAGAATGCTCCTCCCCAGAGGCCCTGCTTTCCAGGAGGTTTGGAAGTATGAGGTCCAAAGTTGAGGGTGGACTGGCTTTTCCTGACCTCCTTAAAATAATCATCCCATTCCTAGACCCATGGATGGAGGACTGGCTGCAGATGGATCGTCCGTTCCGGGAAATCTGTAGACAGCCCCTAAATCTTGGGAATCAGATGGCCTTGTGCCCACCTCTCCCCTCTCCTATGGCTTTTCCTTGCCGCTTTCCTCAGCCCCTATCACCTCCCATGTTCCCACCGCTGCCCCAGGATGCCCCTTTTTACCCACACCAGCCCTTCCCACCTCGAGACTGCTTTGATTACGATCCAGTGAAGGACTTCTCGAGGCTACCCAACTCAGGTAGGTGTTTGCACCCAGTAACTCTCCTTGGACTTCCTCCTGTGTCCAGGGAGACTGAGAGTTGCCTAGCCCCTTGTGCCCTAAGGATTAGATTTGATTACCACAGTCCACTGAGTCTAGTACCGTTTCTGTATTCGTTATTCAGCTTACTGATCCTCACAGTATCTTGGTCTGGATTAAGAGAGGAAGTATTTTCACTCTACAGGTGGGGAAACTGAATCCCAGGGAAATTGGCTAGAAGCACACTTAATAACCAGTGGTTCTTTTGCAGGACGTGACTGTGGAGTGAACTTTGGTCCTCTGCCACCTCCAATCCCTGGTCCTGTCTCCCATGGTCAGCACAGGAGCCTAGTGATCCACCAGAGGATACCACGCTATATTCCCTATAGCCCCTATCCTGTGTCAAGGATGGGGGTTCCCTGTAGGAAGCGGCCCAGACACCTGACGAGACTTGTCCGCACCTACAAACAGGAGGGACAGCCCCCTGCCCATTTAGGGACATGGCCTGGGTAGACTACAGTTGGGCTCGATTTTCAAATGTTCCTGCAGGGCCAGCTTGTTATCCCAGGTGTTGGGGTAGAATGTTTCCGTTTCCTTTGTACAGTATTGTTCTTGTTTGTTGTTGTTACCAATAAAGACCTAGAAAAACAATGACATCTTCCTGTGTAAGGAGTAGATCTCCCAGACTACAGTCTTAGAGTCAGGGACGCTTCTTTGGTCAATACTCATCTCTGGGTTTTGGTCCCTCTCCATATAGAGACCATTGCTTCTGTCCATCCTGCTGTCTTCCACACCTGTTTGCACACTCACTAGAGCATATAACTGTTGCTGCTTGTTATGTGCTGTCATGTTGACTCTGGCTCATAGTGACCCAGTGAACAAGACCTCTAAACCCTGCCTAACCCTAACCCTGCCTTACCCTGAATCAATCTCACTATCTCCGACACACCTGCCCCATTACCACAGTCACTGTGTCAGTCCATCTCATCCAGGGTCTTCCTCTCCAGTGCTGACTCTACCTTTCCAAGCATGTTGTCTTTTTCCAAGGACAGTATTCTCAGTGTATGTGAGATGGAGTTTCAAAATCTTTCCCTCCAAGGAGCAACCTGGTTTCACCCTCTCCAGGACAGACTTACTTGTTCTCGTTCTCTTGGCAGTCCACAGTATGTTCAGTACTCTTCTGCAGCAGCACACCTCAAAGATACCGGTTAATCTTCTGCATCCTTAGTTGTCTACCCCTCAGTGCATAGCAAGCAGCTGAGAAGATCATTGCCTAGATCAGGTGCACCTTAATCTCTAGACATTGTTGGCTGTCTAGCATTCTGGAGAGGTTCCTGACAGCAGATAATGGAGAAATCTGTTGTCAGCAGCTCTTTGGCACTGGAAGAGTCAAAGGTGAAATTTATATCAGTATTTTATATGGGTTTTTTTTATCCATTTTGTTTTTACTTATATTTTCCACTCTTTTTTATTCATTGGTACATTTAGTGTTCAGCTACACTAAGATCTACAGAGACAGCCTTTATTTTGTCTAATCAATGGCACGGAGAGACCTTTAATAGATGGTTGAAACTATGATTCCAAATCCCAAGTGGAAGATAGACCAGAAAGTCACCATTTAGTAAGTATAATACACAGTTGTACCAAGTGTCTCGGAGAGGCGCTAGAGGAGTGAAGGAAGAAACTTCCACAGGATCAAGGATCTGCCAACTTCCTAAAAAGTTAAGAAAACTGACTTGGGGAAGGGTTTTGGATTTGCTGAGGGGTTCTGATCCTAGGTTTGAGACGTTGGAAAGAGCATCAACAGTGGAATGGGAGTGGGGCAGAAAGATAACATAGAGACCTCAAAGAGCTTTGGAGAAGAGATGCAGATATTTTACATTAACTCTTCCTACTTGCTCTCAATTTGTCACGAGATCAGCAGCCTCACACAAAATACATTGCTGTCCAGTCCAAACCAGATGTCTGACACAGTAATTTGAGCTGACTGCTTCATCTTTTCCCATAAAATGGCCTAAAATGGTAGGTTTAAACCACTGCCAAGCTTTACATTAGCAGCCTAATGCAAAACATACTACTACATTGTTAGTAGTGTCCATGTTATGTATAGCTGTAAAGTTGTCTGCGACTCATAGCAATCTTATGTACAACAGCTCTGAACCCTCTACTCTATCCTAAGCCAACCTCATTGTCCCCGACACATCTATCCCCATTGCCTCAGTCAATGAGCCAGCCCGTCTCATTGTGGGTCTTCCTCTCTTGTGCTGTCCTCCCAAGCATAATGTCCATCTCCAAGGACTAGTCCCTCCTTGCAACATGTCCAAATTGTGTCAGATGAAGTTTCAGAATTCTTTTTTTTTTTTTTAAGTTTCAGAATTCTTGCCTCCAGAGGGCAGCCTGGTTTCATTCTCTCCAGGACAACCTTGTTTGTTTTCTTAGTCCATGGTATATTCAATACTCTTCTCCAACACCACAGCTCAAAGGTATTTATTCTCCTTCATCCCTAGTCATTGTTCAGCTTTCTGATGCATAGCACGTAATTGCAAAGACCATGGCTTGGGTTAGGCACACTTTAGTCTCCTGGCTAATGAGATCCTTTTCACTACTCTGGAGAGGTCCCTGACAGCGGACTCTACCACTGCAGTTCATCTTTTGGTTTTCTGACTGCTGGTACTGAGAGTATTGAATGTGGAGCCAAGCAAACTAAAACTGTTAACAAGAACCATGCAAATAGCTACATAATCAGACATGACACTTCACATGCACCTGCATCCATGTTTAACAGCCATTGCATCTAATGTTCTTTGCAAGGCTCAGATTTTACTCACAGTTGTGGGGTTTATTTAGCAAATAGGTTGGAGAGTGGGGAAAACAAACAGTAACACCAATAGAGCAAATTTAATACCAACAGTCTCAAGCCGGATTAACAGCAGAACATAATTCCTCAATTAGTCAAAGTGCAGGTTCAGTTTGCAGCACGAGCAGTTACAAGTCAGCTCTTCAATTATCCAGAAAGTAAAACCTTTGCGGCTTTTGTCTCCAGGGCTCCTGCTGATTACACTTTGCCACAGTCTCTTCACAGCATGGAAGTCTTTTCACCATCTCCTCACTGTCGCTGCCGTTTCTCACAGTGTGGAAAGCACTCTTAATATTGGCCCCACAGTTGTTGATGATTTGCAAGAAATGTGTCCACAGTTAAAGGTAGCTGGAGATCATGCCCCCAGTAGGGGCTAATACAATGGCTAGAAAAACCCGTTTTCAAGTGCTCTGGCACCCTAAAAACCCTATGAAACAACAGATCTGAACCCTGTCCTATGTTTTCATCTCTGGTGTGCTGGAGCCGCCCATTGATACAGTCCTTGTGTCAACCCATCTGGTTCATACTCTTCCTCTCTTTTACTGCACCTCCACCTTTCCGAGCATGATGTCCCTCTCCAAGGATAGCCTCTCCTAGCAACATGCCCAAAGAATGGAAGATGAAACTTATTTTTGTCTTCAAGGAGCACTCTGGCTGCACCTTCTCCAAGACAGATCTGTCTGTCTTTTTGGCAATCCATGAGATCTTAAGTAGTATTCTCCAGCACCACAGCTCAAAGGCATCATTAGTTCTTCTGTCATCCTTACTCATACATAGTCCAGCTTTCAGATGTATAGCAAGTGATTGGAGTGAACCATGGCCTCAATCAGGTGCACCCTAGTTACCAAAGTGACTTCATTGCTCCTCAACTAATACATCAGGGCTTCATAATTAAACAAGTTGGAAAACTATTGATCATTGTTAGCAATTCACACTGTGTCTACACTTTCATCTATGAAAGGTAACTAAAATATTAGAAATGTTATTTAAATTGTTAGTCTGCTTCTTGGGGGGGGGGGAAGGTGATACAGTTGGCTTCTGTTAAGGTTTACAGCCATAGAAACCTGAGCGGAGAATCACAGTGAACTTGGGTCTACTTGACAACTTGATTTTCAGGTACTGAGGACAGACTCCAGAGTGGCACAGTGGTTAAGCACTCAGCTGCTGTTTCAAACCCATCGTCTGTCCACCAGGAAAAGATACAACAGTCGTCCTGTAAAGATTTACAGCGTGGTAAACACTAGAGGGCATTTCTTTTCTGTCCTGTAGAGTTACTGAGTCAAAATCCTTTTTCGGGTCATAAGCATGATGATTGGTGTTCATGCTTCTGTATGACATGTGCCACCCTTTAAGCCTTGTTACAATATGGGCACACTACCTGTCTGATGTAAGGGGGGGAAATCTACAGCAACATATTTGATTTTGTGCTGGAGAAACTGGTAGTGAATTTAGAGAGCAACTTTAACAGGACAGTTGGAAATAAATGACACTGCACAATGACACTAGCACACTGCCTGAAACAAGTGAGCTAGACTCTGGTGCAGATAAAAAGTAAAATAGAATACAAGAATGGAGAGGGGAAAGTTGTTGGGGTTTTTTTGGCCAGAGAGCCAGCATCTTTGGTAATTTTGTTTTTTACAAAAATTACTTTTTCCTTGGTAACAAAAACCTATCCTTTGAGAGTCCTCCTTCAGATGCATCCAGTTGGGCCCATCCCTTATCCAGTCTTTTCTGCTTAAAACACTTATCTCTCTCCAGGCACTTAGGCATTTCTGCTTCATAGGTTTCTCAGTTTACTGGAAAAACTCATACACTTGAACTGAGCCAGGGAGAAAAGTAATAGGAGTTTCCGGGCCTCTCCAGGTTTCCTGGTTTTTCCATCCTGTTTTTTAATAGTTCTCTGATGCCTTTGCCATAAGCTTTTCCCATCAAGCCTTTGCCATTTTTCCACTCCTCTGAAACTTTTCTACTACTGGAATTCTCTCCTTCTGTAAGCAATCTTGAGACTGTCAATGTGCCATTCCTCTGTGTCTCATATTATTACTTAATTCTGTTGTTGTTCAGTGCCTTGAGTAGCTTGTGACTCATGTCAACCCTATGTACAATAGCTCTGAATCCTGCTCTATCCTGAGCCAACCTTATCCTCTCTGACACACCCACCCTAATTACAACAGTCACTGAATCAGTCCATCTCATTCAGAGTCTTCCTCTCTTGCGCTATCTCTCCACCTGCCTAAGCATGATGTCCTTCTCTAAGGACTGTCCCTCCTTGCAGAATGCCCAAAGTATGTCTAAACAGAAGCTCAGAATCCTTGCCTCCAGGGATCCTCCGTGGATCTTGGCTGAAAGCAGGCAATAGCAGAGGAATATCTATCTGTGTATCATTGACTATGCAAAGGTGTTTTACTATGTGGATAACAAGAAACTGTTATTGACTTTGAGGGTTGTGTCATCTGCATAACGCAAATTGCTGATAGATCTTCCACCAATCTTGACCTCACATTTCTCCTCATAGAGCCCAGCCTCCTGGATGATCTGTTCTGAAAACAGGTTGAAAAGGTGGAGATAGAACACATCCCTGGTGTACGCCCTTCCCAATTTTGAAGCATGCAGTGTTTCCTTGCTCTGTTCTGATGACTGCTTCCTGGTCCAAGTA